GAGGCTGCTCCGGCAGCAGCCCTTGCCTGCAGTCGTCCCAGCCAGTGTTCCCTCTAACATTTTCCATTCCAAGAGTTTTGTCTTGTGCACCAATATTAAAGTCATGTGTGCTTGTTTGGACGTGTGCCACCGTGGCAGGCATAGGGATGTAAACGACGACTTGACTATCCAACAAGCAATGTTGTCGGATGTTAGTGGTCTCTGTTGCAATATATACATTCACAGCTGTTTAGTAACTGGGGAAAATATATGCTCCTTTTCCCAAGGAATAGGAGAGAGGACTAAGCTACCAGCTTTAGGTGTAAGAATGACAGACTCAATGTATTAAAAGATGCTGAATTAAATGTCAAATATAAAAAAACCAACAAGTCTGGAGCGAAAATTTCTAGCGATAGGAACAAGATAAAAAAGGCTGTTTCTTATTATCTGACCAATTTTTTTTTTAATTGAAGCTTCATGCAATTTTTCTAAACATTTAAAAGATAACAGCTATTTGAGTCATAACAAGCAAAGAAATTCCAGGGGATAAATGCCTGAGAAATAAGGGCTTATATTCAATGTCCTCTCATGTCAGTATAATCATGCTGCTAATGTGACGCTGAAGTATAGTGGAAGAATACCAAAGTACTAATTTCTCTTTCAGATGTCAGTTAAGAGTCACAGTAAATGCAGAGCTTCATGTTATCTGCCCCTCCTCTCAGTGTAATCTTCTAAGATTTGTTTAGTTATGCCCAGTGAGCAGACAACACATGGGTTCTATACAACCACAGTGACAGTAGAAAGAAAGGGTCCTTACATCAAAGGACCCAGCCACATGAGGCCAAATGATGCAATTTGTCAGAATTTCTGCACTGCTGTCTGAGCATGCATGTACACAACAATGGATTGTTCCAGACTCACAGGGACAGATGCAGGTAAACATAAAACAAGACAAAGTCTTAAGCCTCAGCATTCTTCCTACGGAAAATAAGACTTTCCGACGGTAACACATTTGTTTGGAAGGTAAAACAAAACAAGATGCTAGAGAAAACTAAAGTGCAGTTACCTGTATATCTGAGCTCATAGCACAGAAAAGGCAATATTTTAGAGAAAGTCCAGTGACTGGGCAGTGATTTTTGTTAGAAGAGCCATCACTGTAAATACTTTACATTTCTTTTAAAACACACAGGCTAGCACTTACGTTTTATTTAAAAAAACCAAACAGTCCCCAATACTGCACTTTGTTGCTGGAAAGCTGTTCTCGTGGCATAACGCTGTTACTTATCACTTAAGGACAGTTTACCAAAGGATTAAATGGGAGTTTCCGATGGATGTTCAGAATTTGAAAAATGTGAGCTCTCTGATGTGGAAGAGCCTCACCCAAAATTATATGGTAAGTGAGAGCACTGCTTTTGCATCTGACCTCATCTCTGCCATGTGAAGCATTCATTCAATTATAGATTTAGATGCCCAGCCCTTCATGATATTTTTCTCTCGGTAGGTGAGTAAAGTCTGTTAAATAGAGGATTACAGCCCTTAAGCCAAACAGTTGCTTGTATGCTCCCTTTGTTAGCAGGCTTCTTAGGTGAGAGGACTCTCGAAAACCTCTTCTTCTCCAGCAAAGCTATGGCTAAAATAGGCAGAGGCCAAACAACTGTACGTAAAATTGAGATAGTAACATCACTTAAAACGATCAACTTCTATTCAGAAAAGTGTAAACAGTGAGGAGGGGCTATAAGGGATGTCTGCACATTAAAAAACAAAATATGATGATAATAACATATCAGAAGGGTAAATATTGGAAAAATAAACATCCAGTAGGAAACGATAGCAAATGAAAGCAGAATTGGAACTATTAATAAAAATGTCAATTGCCATCTATTTCTTTCACAGCATTGTGTCTTGCAAGCCTTAGGGCAGGTCTATACTAAAGCTGGAAGGTCGGCTTAAGGTATACAGCTCCACCTATGTAAATAATGTAGCTGGAGTCAATGTACCTTAAGCTGTTTTTGGCACCATCCCCACAGCAGGAGGTTGATGCTCCCTCAACTTCCTTTACTCCTCGCAACTGCAAGGAGTACAGCGGTCAATGAGGGTTCCATCGGTGTTCAATTTAGTGGGTCTTTACTAGACCTGCTAAATTGAACAGTGGAAGATAGACTGCTGCAGTGCTGATCTCTGCAGCAGTGAACACAAGCTTTTAGACGCGCCTGTTGTGCCTCAAAATTAGGAAGTATCATCTAATGTTGAACACTTTTTAGATCATGTGCAAATGTAATAAATACTTTGTAATTCTAATTTAAATAAGGGCAGAAGGGACCACCAAATCACTACTTTGATCTCTTGTATGATACAGGCCACCACCACTACTCTGCAACTGCACATTGGTCCCAGCAACTGAGATTAGGCCTCTAAGTACAGACTGACATGCACTATTGCCTAAGACACCTACACTTGCGGCTAAAAAAAAAGTGAGATCATTTTCCTGGCAAGTCCCCCACACTCACAAAAGCTGCAGTGGAAAGTAAAAACTCCCCTAAGGTCATTGCCAATCTGACCTGAGGGAAATTCCTTTCTGATCCTACCTACATATGCTAATTAGTTAGACTCTGAGCATGTGAACAAGAACCAGCCAGCCATGCACTTGAGAGCAAGAGAATGCTTCTTGACCATTCTGGTTTTGGAAGATTTAAAATAAGCTTTGAAATCACAGGACACAGAGTCACTGACTGATTAACTGGGAAGGGGGGAAAATATGCAGCACATAAATATGAAATGCCAATGTTTATTTGTGTGTGAACAATTAAAATAAGGGTCTCATTTGTTTACATGTGGAAGACTAATTTTTCTATGGACAGTAACAGGTAATCTTCATTTGCCTTGTTTGTGGGTAAACTTCTGAAAGCTGTGAGGTGACAGTGAAGCACAGGATGACATTCAAATTTTTTCTTGAGTCAAAAGTTAATTACACAATGCAGTGAGTTTATCAGGCTTTATTGTAATGAGTACGCTTGTCTTTAGAAGGCTTAGAAGCATCTGATTACCTGAGGCCCACCAACGAGGTCAAAGGGAGTAATTGCCCAGGGACCTGGGAGATTTGAAAGGGCCTAGGGGTCCTGGCTGCCACTGCTACTGGCAGCACAGACAGCTAAGGCAGACTTCCTGCCTGCCCTCACGGCACAGCACATCCCAGTGGGGGACAACGGAAGGGGAGAGAAGGTTTCTCCTCTCTGCACGCTCCCTGGGCCCTGAGTGCAGACTATGCAGCTCCCATTGGCTAGGAACTGTGGCCTGTGGTAGCTGGGGCAGGGGGCAGTGCCTGTGTGGAGACCCAGATCCTCTCCCCTTCTACGAGCTGCTGCTAGAGGGGTGTGCCAGTTACTTTAGGACAGTGTTTCTCAACCTCTTTTTTATAAAGTACCCCTTTTTAAAAATATTATAAGTACCCACTTTAAAAAAAATAAAATTACAAGTACCCCTAGTACCTACAGTTTTCAGTCACACAATTTTTTTCTACCATTGCAACACATTTGTTTAAACAACTTAATCGTAGCCGGGCAGCAATGAAATTTTTGGGTATAAAAAGTATAAAAATAATAAAGCCCTATAAAATTTGCAACAAAAATTCAGTTTTCTCCAAATTTCAGTTGTGTTGATGTACCTCCCCCCAGACTTCTCTTGAGTACCCCTAAGGGTACTCGTATCACTGGTTGAGAAACACTGCTTTAGGGAGCCGCAAGAGTGCAGCTACCCTGACATCCTGCACCCAAACCCCTTGCCCCAACCCACATCCACTTTCACATCCCAACCCCGTGCCCCAGCTTGGGGAAAATGAGTGAGGGGTACGGAGTGGGGGACAGGGGCAGGGAAGGGGTGGGGCAAGGATATTTGGGTTTGCATGATTAGACAGTTGGCAACCTACCAGATGGGTGTGTGGAAGCCCTAGCCATGCCAGAAGAGCACGGTCAGCAGCACAGCCAGTAGCTTACTGGGCACTAGTAAGCACAGGTGCAGCACTGCCCCAATGTCAGAGGAACTGCATCTCTGTGGGCGCAGCTTGTGCGTGCTTTGGGGCCACTGACTGTTCTGCCCTAGTGCCTGGAATTACTATTAGTAGGCCTGGGTTACCTGGTGGTAGATTTCACTGGATGGCAAGATCTGCAACTGGCATAGTTCTTGAAATGACGTTTCTGTATCTAATGTATCTCTGGTCTAAATTCATAAAGCGCTGAGCATCACTGTTCCCAATGATGTCAGGAGATGCGGGTTTAAAATCTTTGAAACAAAAACAAACAAAAAATCAAGCTTCTCACTTCTCTGAGACTCCTAGGATATATGCAATAATGAAAAACACAGAAATCTGACTAGTTCCTTCTTAATTTTCAAAACCTCGTCTTAAATCAAATTACTCACATCACTAACAACCCATTCATGTGGCAAAGGGAAAAACTCCTGAAATGTTTTCTAAGATAGTACTTAACGTAACTGGGCAAGTTCATATAATTTGCATCCCTCCTCTACCCAACTCTAGTCCTGAAAACTAATACAAGGGGACTAATTGTTAGAACCCCTCATGGATACAAAATTTGTAACCACATCCACAAAAAGCCCCAGATATCAGCATTGATATCCACCCGCGGACGTGAAAAGTAGATATCTACAAATGTGCAGGGTTCTAGATACAAAATTTGTATCCGCACCCATAGCCACAAAAATGAGTTGTGGATATAAAGTAAATATCTGCAGATTTGCAGGGCTCTACTAATTATATGGCTGTGTAAATCTGAAGTAAATTCTATCAAACTAAAATACAAGCAGGAAGTATCATGAGTTTTAACAGTGCAGTTCCTCACAGGATTGGGTCATTCATTTCCATGGCTACCACAATGATCACTCAGGCGTGAATGGTTGTTTGTGAATTATTATCATGAAAGGTCATGCTAAAATACTGCAGAAGACACAAATACTGGCCAACATCACATATAATTACATGAAGCCTCTGCAGTTTTGTATCTCAAACTAAACAGCAACATTTAAAACTAATTACTTCACTGCAAATTTTTGAAGAAATAGTTCATCTAAAAAAGCAATTTCCACCGTCCAGATAGCTAGGCCACATTGCCAAGTTTCAGCTTTCTAAGCAACTCAACTATTGCAATCTCACACAAGTACTGTATAATTAATTAGATTTTAATAGCTACTCATTGAGCTGTGAGTTCACGGGCTTTATTTTCTCCAATTTACAGCATCTTTACAAAGTCACTTGAGACCACAAGAGAAGCTAAATCCATATTAAGAAAACCTCACTGACTACATAGCACTTTTCCACAGCTAACCATTTCAATTCCATATTTATTTAAGAGGAAAGATAGCAATGATATGTTAGCATGTCTTTAATGAGGATTTTGAGTCAGATGATGAGGAGATGCATTTCAAATTCTGAAAAGAATGTCCAGAGCATTCTGTGCATATTTTAAAATTTCAATTACTTAACACTTCTCTCCCCTTTTAGGACTCTCTTCTTTCACAGTCCCCAGAAAAGAGGGGGGGTGGGAAGGGGGGGGGGGGGGGGGGGGGGTGTGTGTGTGTGTGTGTGTGTGTGTGGCGTTGTAACCCATCTACATAGGCACAGGCCATAACCAAGAAATCACATGTCCCTATTGCTATAAACCTTGCCTTTCTTTTTCCCCTCCCTACTCTTCTAAACAGGGACACTTGTCTTGCTGTTTTCTCTACTGTGAACTTTGGGGCAGTGTAAAAGCAATAAATAGATGCTTTTTAAGCATGGAAGACAAATGCCAGAGAAAATACCCCTATTCATTTCACTTTGTTGCTGTTTGGGAGAAGTATTTGCAGCAGCACAGAAATGACTCATGTTTAAAAAGGGAGAGGTGTAGAAAATAGGAGAGAGTCTTACTGTTTCCACCCCTCTGCTGTCAGGAAAAGACAGAAAGCTCCTTCTACTTTCCAACACCTAGCAGGAAGCAAAAATGTCCTATTTAGTAGACTCCTGCCAGCCAGAGGCTAAGTTGAAGGATGGAGCATCCATGCAAAGAGCAGGAACATCAACCTGGGAAAATCTCAGAATTCTCCAAACAGACATGATCTTCCTATCCAAGTGCAAGTTGTTCTTATCAGCCTCTTGTAACTTGAACAATCCAATTCACTATTTTTTCTTCTTTTTTTTTTCTTTTTTCCCGTTCTTCCCCACCTACCATCTTCCCTTGTTTATTCTTTGATCTGGACTTCTAATACTCCAGGCATCTGAAAGTGGGTTGTACCCACAGAAGCTCATGATACCATCTACATGTTTTGTTAGTCTTTAAGGTGCTATTAGTTGTTTTTTAAGTTTTTCCATTTACAGACTAACTCGGCTACCCCACTGAAGCTTTTGAACATTTTCCAACAGTTGGGCTATGTCTACACTCGTGGCTTCTTGCGCAAGTACAGCTGTTCTTGTACAAGAATCTGCAGTGTCCACACTGCCCGCCAGCTCTTGCGCAACTAAATTTACAGTACGGCGTGGTAAGAGAGGGCTCCTTGTGCAAGAGCTACGCTCTTTTTTAACAGGTGTAAGCCCTCTTGCGCAGGAGCTCTTGTGCAAGAGGGCAGTGTGGACGCTTGGCAGGGATTTCTTGCGCAAGAAAGCCCTATGACTAAAATGGCCATCAGAGCTTTCTTGCGCAAGAGAGCATCCACACTGCCATGGGAGCTCTTGCGCAAAAGCACAGCTCGCACATGGTAGTGTGGACGTTTTCTTGCGCAAGACTTCTTGCACAAGGAGCCACCAGTGTAGACATAGCCTTGGAGTTCCATCTTCTCTCTCTCTCTCTCTCTCTCTCTCTCTCTCTCTCTGAGTTCTTCAGGGCCTGTGCCAAATGATGCATATTTATGTCGGTGATCCAATTCTGTTTCCTGCTGGCCTCCTGCAGGAGATCTGGATGCATGAAGAAATGCAGGATCAGGTCTCAGCCTACTGCACACATGTAACTGAACTATCCAGCTTTCTGCCACTCTGTCATAACTGAACTGGTAAGCTGGAGAGTAAAAGCTCCAAATCCCATCACCAAGTAAACCTCTGAGCAATCAACACGCATAGCTTAAAAAAAAAAAAAAAATCAATTATTCCTCCTTCCATCCAGTGGTGCAAGTGTGCCAGTGTGGTCTGGTACTTAGTACCTGCAAGTTATTTTTAGCCAGTACGGTGTATTGGAAAGGCTCCCAGCAGGCCTTCCCCAACCTCCCCTCCACCGCATCTCTGGGTATAGGGCTGGGGCCTGAAGGGCAGGCCTGGAAGCACTACAACAGATGCCTGCATTCTGCTCCTTTCCCTGCTGCCCCTCCCAATGGGAAAGGAACAGAACTGCCAGCCCTGCTCCCCAGCCTTGTACACAGAGAGGTGCAGCTCCATGGAGGGGCAGGAGGCAGGGCTGGGAGTTCTGCTCCTTTCCATGTTGGGAGGGGCAGTGGGGAGAGCAGAACAATGCCAGCAGGTAGTGTTCCCACCTCTTTTCCCCGCAGGAACATGAGATAGGGAGGGGATGAGCATGGGGTCCCAGGCTGGAGTCATGTGGGGGTCACATAGCCCCCCACCCATCTGGTGTGCCCTCCCCTCCTATACCTTGTTTTCTACACCACCAGCTTCATCACTCCCCGTTTCCCAGCCAGTGTTAATGGTGTCAGAACAGCTCTGCAGGTCAAAATGTCCCAAGCAAGATGCAATTTTAATTGCAAAGGGAATAATTGGGGATGTTAGATAGCAATTAATTGAATACTTGTGTAACCGCATCAAATTTTAGCAGAGGCAGCAGCGTGGGGTGGCAGGCAGGAGCGGATTTAAAAACTGGCTTTCTTTGCAGACTGGCTGCCTGCTGTCCCGCACTGCTGCCTCCGATACAGACCCAGCAGCAGCCCCTGTCCACGGGGGCAGTCCCAGCTCTCTGCAGACAGGAGCTGTGCTGGCATCCCATGGAGCAGCCTCTGTCTGCGGTGAGTCTATGCCTGCCATGGGCAAAGGCGCTGTGGCAGCCTCCCCCCTACGCTGCTGCCTCTATCACTGCTGCCTGATAAAGGCAGCAGCGCGTAGGGAGAGGGCGAAGCGGCTCCGTGGAGCCAGCATGAGAGGAGAGCCTGCTTAAAAGCTGGCTCCTCCCCATGCATATCGGCTTCTGCCTGTTCTCCCCGTGCTGCTGCCTCTGATAAAGAGGCAGCAGTGTGAGGGGCAGGCAGCTACACAGGAGCTGATACGCACAGAAAGCTGGCTTGAAAGTTGGCTTCCCACATGTACTGGCTCCCGCCTGCCCCCGTCACCCTCTGCGCTGCTGCTGCCCCTCTATCAGAGGCAGCAGTGCGAGGAGTGAGATGGGGCAGGCAGCTCCCTGGATACAGTGCTTATGGGGAGCCAGCTTTTAAAAGCCGGCTCCTGGCTCCATTTTTTTCCATGCCTTATTTATATTGTCTCTGAATCGCAGACAGCTCTGGTCTATACTAGGGATTTATTTTTAAATAACCCCCCTTAGGTTGAATTTATAAATGCAGCAGTCACACTACCAAGCCCCTTATTTTGAAATAACCGACTGCTTATTTTGAAATCTGTATTCCTGCTTTTCTCGGGGAATATGCTAATTTCAGAATAGTTATTTTGAAATAATGTTAGTGTGGACACTCCGGTGCCGCTATTTTGAAATAACTGCTCCCCAGAACAATTTGAACTAGTTACTCCTCAGTGTTTCCTGAGACTCTAAATCGAAGTAGCACGTCCTCATGAATGGAGCCTGCCTTGGAGTAATTTTGAGGCTTCCCTGTAGTGGGGACACGCTATTTCGATTTTGTGAAATTGGGAGTTAAGGCTAATTTGAAATAATTTCCTACTGTAGACATGCCCTTAGTAGTAGTCTGTAAAAAAGTATTTTAAATTAAACTATTAAAGCCCATATACTTATGTTTCCAATTAGCCTATCCCAAAAGCAAGATAACTGAACTGAGCATATGTGTACCTTTTCTTACTTCTTTGTAATGTTCAAAGAAGGTGCAAAAAAATTCTGCTTAGTTTGTTTACATTACCGTATTTTCCGGCGTATAGGGCGACTGGGCGTATAAGACGACCCCCTAATTTTTTAATTAAAAGATAGGGTTTACTTATGTTTCCAATTAGCCTATCCCAAAAGCAAGATAACTGAACTGAGCATATGTGTACCTTTTCTTACTTCTTTGTAATGTTCAAAGAAGGTGCAAAAAAATTCTGCTTAGTTTGTTTACATTACCGTATTTTCCGGCGTATAGGGCGACTGGGCGTATAAGACGACCCCCTAATTTTTTAATTAAAAGATAGGGTTTCATTTTATACCCCAGCGCCCCTCCCCCGCCGGGCGCCCCGGGCCCCCCCCCCCCCTCCCGCCGGAGCCCCTCCGCGGCTTTGAAACCCTCGGGGGAAGCCGGTGGCGGGGCATCCCAGGCGCGCATGGGCTGCCCCCCCACCGGAGCCCCTCCACGGCTTTGCAAAGCCTCGGGGGAAGCCGGCGGCGGGGCATCCCAGGCGCGCCTGGGATGTATACCCGGCGTACAAGACGACCCCCGATTTTTGGGGGATGTTTTTTAACATCAGAGGTCGTCTTGTACCCCGGAATATACGGTAGTCAGTCAGGATTTGTCTGTGCTGAGAGCTCCTGGCTAATTGAAGAACTGATGGATTAAGGGCAGATATACCAGACGAGAAACTTGACTCAGAAAAAGATGAGGTGCTTTTTATTCAGACTGTTTAAATCATCTTAGTTTTTTATTGGTTACACTTTGTTATTTAAAGAACAGGAGAGAAAAGAACTTTCGTTAAAGAATCAACAAGCCCATCCTTTGTTTTATCCTGTAAGCTGACCTGGTTAAATGTATTTGCTTTGCTAAAAAGTATCACTATAAAACACAGAAAAGAGCTTGATTAAAGGAAAGTCTGAGTAGAGAGCTGTTTTCACCAAGACTTATAATTGCTTATCAGAATTTTCTAAAGCTACCAGTGAGAGTAGGAGTATGTAAATAAGCGTTTTCAAATATGGGAGAAAACCCCCCATCCTTTCCTTTTTTAAGGTCTCAGAAAGCTTTCTGTGCCTATTTCTGAGACAATCAAGATGCTCTCCAACAACAAAAGACAAGACTTGACATTTCCAGAGTGTAACAGTTACATTCACACACCCCTGTTAGGCTTCCTTTAATCAGCATACAGCAGCAGTAAATAAATAAAGTACAATAATAATAAAAAAGCATAAGTCCAACAGGGCAATGGCCACTGTCAGACAAGGTCTTCAGCCTCAATGTATCTCTAATCTGTTTCAATATAACACTAGCTACAATATTGTGATCAGGATAGCTGCTTTTGAGGTGATATAGAGATATTAAGGGGAAATAGGCCACACTGTCACAGAATATTAAGACAAGAGGATGCTTTAAAAATAAAAACTAGGCAAGCAAGCATATCTGAAAAGAATGCATGGAATGTTTTGTTCTTTTTAGGCCAAGAATGCATCATAGCTGGGCATCTGACGCTCTGAACTACTTCCTATACTGGATTTTAAAAGAACAGCTGTGTTTTAGTTCTATATTTCATTTGAAAACTGAACAGAAACAGACTCTGACATTCTTAAAATCCCAACAAAACACCTACATTCATCCCACCTTGTCCTGTGATCTAGTTCACAAGCTAAATAGGTGTCCCAGCCAAGGACTGAATTTAAAATATTGCAGGAAGTGGTACTAATGATTCATTCTGGAGGTGTCACTCTTCCCCCTCAATGTGTAATGAATCTTACAGGTTGTTATGGGGCACTATACTGCTGTGGACTAGCTTTCAGAGGTGATACAGAACTAATAACCATAAATATCCCATAGAACGTAATAGTACAGATTTCACAACAGTGTTCTGTCCAAACTAGGTCATTATATTCTGCTTGCTTATGTCATCAAGAATTCTCTCTCTCATCCTTACATAAAAAAGCAAAGAGAATCAAGACTGTCCAGTGACACAACCGATATTGGCTTCAGCCATTACTGTACTGTTGTGAGATTTAGCTGTCTGTCAGGTGCTCTGAGGCATTATGAAAGTGCAAAGGGTTAAGGATCTCTAGCTAAAGTTTTAAGAATGGAGATGTAATTCTAGTGCAGTCAAATGAATATTGGAAGAGATATGGACTTCAAAACAGTTCATTAAGTTTTAAAAAAAATAAAAAAATGCAGTAAGATTTAAATACTTAATGTACCTTATGAAAAACTGAAAACTTCTGAACTAAATCTAAAGATGTCAACTATAATTTGTGACTGGGCAGCTTGTCAGTACTCTCTCACTCCCTCAAGAAGGGCTACAGAAAACTAGTTGAACAGATATGATGGATACCCCATTCCATCACTGAATAGTTCTTTTAAAAGCAGAATAAAAATACCTCCCAAAACACTTCTAGCTTCATAACTGCAGGTTGACTGTGCCAAAAGAAGGACAAGAGAGATGTTCTGCATCAGCTTTACTGCAAACAAGAACAACAGTAGTCAATTAAAAATATCAGTAAATTCCTGTCATTGTGATGTATGACACTCCACACAGCTGAAGCATGTGAGCTAGACCATAGAGTGTCGGGTACGTGCCCTCTTTTTAGTACAGTGTATTCTGTTTGCAAAGCTTTAAAAATATATCTTTACAAACAGAAAACTTAGCAGAGCCATATATACACTGTACTGCAAAGGGCATTTACCTGATGCTTCACAGGGGTGCCAGCAGAGTTCCATGCTGAAAATTACTTAACGTCCTTGGGGTATGTCTAGACTACAGCATTTTGTCGACAGAAGCTTTGTCGACAAATACTGTCGACAAAGCTTCTGTCGACAAAATGCTGTAGTCTAGACATACCCCAAGGACGTTAAGTAATTTTCAGCATGGAACTCTGCTGGCACCCCTGTGAAGCATCAGGTAAATGCCCTTTGCAGTACAGTGTATATATGGCTCTGCTAAGTTTTCTGTTTGTAAAGATATATTTTTAAAGCTTTGCAAACAGAATACACTGTACTAAAAAGAGGGCACGTACCCGACACTCTATGGTCTAGCTCACATGCTTCAGCTGTGTGGAGTGTCATACATCACAATGACAGGAATTTACTGATATTTTTAATTGGGCCAGGGCTCTGCATTGAACAGTATTCAGAGACCCACAACTTCAAGGGTCTTAAAACAAAGAAAACCTCACAATAAAAATTATTTGAAAAACAACAAAGCATCTTCCCCTTCAAACAGCCAAACAAACCTTCTATTGACACTTTTGATTAACTCCAGAAAAATCCTGGAAATCTTCCCGTAACTGCAAACCATTGTGTCTCTAGGTCTTGCTGGCAATGAAATTTAACATTAACTCAATCAGCACTTACACTACAGTTCAGTTGCATCACACCTCTCATGCATCAATTTCCACTTTGTAATTTAAAATAATTCTTTAAGGAAATCCAGTAATACTAATGTTTATTACAACTTTGGATTGCTCAGCAATGCAACTGGTTGAGACTGTCACACAACCAAATACTCACACACTTTTGCTTCACTCGTGGATTCACAAGGTCTGGTCATTGCCCTCTAATGTATGAGAAGTCTCTGGGGAGTGACATACCAAATCCCCCAACATCACACAATTCCACAGACAGGTCCCTGGCCTCTAAAACTGAGTATTCATCTCTCTGACTCTCTATAACAAATCTTGCTAAGCCAGACCCCTGCAAGAGGCTTGTATCCTTTGGGCACAGTGGTCCCAGTGAGGATCAGCTTTTTCTAAACAAGGCAACAAAGTATTTGTCACTTGGTGCACAGAATCTAAGTGTTCTTGAGTTGGCAAAGAGAGAGTAGAGTTCTGTCAATACTGGTCAAACCAGTGAATGAGCAAGCCATGTTCTAATGGACTCCACCTCTCTCTTTCTCTCCTTACCTATCCAGGTGAGAGCAGTTAGACTCTTCCAGAAGCCAATCCCCTTTTCCTTTCCAGGTCAGTTCTTTGTTCTCAAGGTGGGGGATTTTGCTCTGCTTTCCTGCAGACAGATGGGGAGAAAACCTCCTTCCTTTTAGAAGCTTCAGGGGGTAGCTGAGTTAGTATGTACAGGATAAACAAAAAATAACACATGTTCTGGTAGCACTTTATAGACTAACAAAACATGTAGATGGTATCATGAGCTTTTGTGGGCAGAGCCCACTTCTTCAGATGTGCCCATGAAACCTCATGACACTACATGTTTTGTTAGTCTCTAAAGTGCTACCAGACCATTTGTTGTTTAAGTTTATCCTCCCTTTCAATCATTGTTTCCTAGGTGTCAATGTTCTAGCCCCTGAGGTTTTCCATTGTCTCTTTTGGAGGCAGCATCCATAAGGGTTGCTTTCAGCAGGTTCCAGCCAGTTCCTCAACAACCCTATTCATTGCAGGCCAGAGAGCATAGCAACACCCACACACCTCATGTCCTGTGCTGCTTCCAAGAACAGACTTAACTCTTTTTCCTCCTCTGGGCAGCAATGCAAAGTATGCATGCCTTTCATAAAAACATTACAGAAAATCCCAACTTTGTCACAGCTTCGCTAGCTGGTCAACAGCCTTTTAGAACCGATTGGCAAGTTACTGGCCATGAAAAGGGTGGTATGGCTGGCCTGAAAGACTTCTCAGCACAAGGCAACTTCTATGCTGCAACAGCTAATGTTCTGCCCATTTCCCCTCAATGTTCACAGCCTGGATTTCAGAACCCGCTAAGAGATGCTGGTGTAGAATCCACCTCCGATTTTACACTGAGCTCAGTGCATAGGTGGCACAGGAGTTAGTGACTTTCCACTAAGCACTGACTCCTATAGTGAAAATATCAGTACCTTGCTGTAAAGTCCAGGTCCTTGCCTAAAGGAGTGCTCACTTTTGGGGTGGGGGGATTAGATGGGTGGAACACTTTTGACTGGACACATTAAAATTTACACCAAATTTTAGGAAATGTGCACCAATTTTTTTCTTGCATTCTTCTGGTTTTTAAGTTTGCCCAGCATAATGAGTAAAAGGTTCCAGGTAAGAATAAATGTTTTAAAAAACAGATAATGACAGGCAATAAGAATTGAGGAAGCTTTTCAATCTTTGGTTCAGGCCAGGTAAACATCACTCCTGGAGCTCTGTTGTTGGCTAACACTACTGACCCCAAATAGCAGCATGGCATAAAAAACCCTTATAAAACGAGTATGTAAAACAAACTGAAGTTGTAAGGACAAACTGCAGAACACAGGGCATACATGGGTGGTGGAAAATGAGCAGCTTAAATTATGGCCTCCTGTCACTTTTTTTCAAACAGAAGGAAAATATTTTCACTCTAAGCACCAATTCCAGTCAAGCCTCTCAATTTAAGACAAAGGAGTACAACAGCCCATTCCACTTATTATGTTTCATTCCCTATTGCCCCACTTCTTCAAGTAGGTGTGAGTGATAATATGAATTCTTAAGCTTGTGTGGAGTCAAACTGCAGGATCTGGGCTTGTTTGTAAATATCAAAGTTCTGCTAGGGGTAGCAAGAATCTGTATAATCCACCTTGTATGCTTATTTCCGTAAGGACATATTTTAAGATAATTCACACAATCTACTTTAAATCAACAACCACAACAAAGGAAATCAAAGCTCTTGAATTCAGATTAAGCTTTTCTAAATATTCTTTGTAGTTTATTGGGGTGGGAGAAGTAATCAACACTTCATTTAAAAAGGCACTCTCAATTTGAAATCTAACCTGTTATAAACAGCAGATTCTGATACTTTATCTGTTCCTGATTCCCTTAGTCTATCACATTTCCTATTATTTAAATATATGTTTTCTGCCCTTAATTATTATGAGAGAGACACCCACCCAAACTACACAGACCATGCCAGGGAAAAGATGTGAAATTGATTAAATACCAAGTAATTGGTACAAAGTAAGCAGACTGAAAATGGAAGGACAGATTTATTTTCTTTAATCTGATGGAATTATAATAGTGTTCTAAATAACAGACAGAACACATTTAGTTATCATGACTTTTAAAATATATTGTGTCCCTCTTAGTCATCAAATTAAATTGCAAGCATGAAGAATAATGCATTAAGATGGTCTAAACACTTTGCAATGTGAAAAACGATCTATTCAAGAATCTAAGTGATATTACTTTTAACAATTAGATGTTTATGTAACATTTTAATAGTTGATTGTTTTAAAAGCCTTAATGGTGTAGTTACACATAATACCACTGTGTACCGGCAGGGCTATCACACAGGATTAAGACAAGACAGCGGCACTTAATTTGTAAACAAGAGTCAAGCTGTGGGTATCTTTAAGACAAAGAGCAGGATATATATTCTTTGTACTCTTAATACTCTTGGGGAAAGGAACTGTGCTCCCAGCAGGAGGCCAAATGTCTGCTGACAGGGCTGGGAGTAGAAGCCCCCGCCCGTGTTTCTGCTGGAAAGGGGTGATCAGCTGTTACTGGGGTTACTTGGGCACATATTGCTGTGGGAGCGAAAGGGGGCAGGGAATTGTTTAGAAGCCATATATATAACTAGGACACGAGCCTCCCTCTGGTATGGCTGGAAGGTGCAGAATGTTCCTGTTGACTGGAATCTGGAAAGGAGAAGCAAAACTTTCACAATCCGGCCCTCTGCAAAATTCTGCGATTCGTTGAGAGGGCAGGTCCCCATCTCAGTAGTGACCCAGAGGGAAAGGGCTCCCTATGGCAGCTCTTAGAGGAGCCTTTGCTTTGTGGCTCTACAGAAATGACAGCAGCATTCCGGTCCGGGGATGAATAAGGCACAAGGACTAGCTCCATCCAGTCACCCCCCGGACCGTGTCGGCCGGAGCAGAAAGGGACTTGGAAGAGCCTCTTACCTTGCAGGGGAAGAGGACAGCTGAAGCCACTTTCTCCATGGCCAGGTTCCTGATGCTTGGGGTCAGGGATCCCCTGCACGTGGGGCAGCAGCTCAGTTTCTGCCGGCATTGATTGCACACCAGATGCCCGGCCTGGCACTGCAGGATCGGGGGCAGCACATAGTCGAAGCAGACGGGACACTCGAACAACGAGGTCAGCTCGTGGTGCTGAGGCGAGACCGGCCCGCCGCCGCCGCCTCCTC